CCTATTTTTCTGCTTGCATTTTTACATGTTTTCAAACTACTAGGTTGGCAGAAGCTGAGACAACTAACGGGAGCTCACTCCGTTACACAGCACTAGAGGTTTGAACTGTCGACCTTTCTGATCGACAAGCTCAGTGTCTTAGCCACTGAGCCACCGCGTCCCTCTATATTTCAGTAGTTACCTTAGCCTTTTCTAGCAAGGAAAGTGAGGTCAAGATCCTGTGCACAGTTACTTCAGTGTTAAGCCCAGTGAACACAGTGGGGACCTCTGAACACACATTTGTTGTGCAGCTTGAATTAAGTAGACATGCACACATAAACATTCACCAAATGAAGTGTTTATGCCTGGGCAATGTTTTTATGTAAGAAGTAGGGAAAACCATTGGCTGTTTAATCTGATTTAGATAAAGGAACAATCTTATCCCCCCCCCCCCTTCCTTTCAGGGGCTCTGAAATGGAAAGAAGGCCTCACCCAGAAGGCAGCCGAAACTTTTTTGAGACAGCAACAGGCTGCTCCGAATCTCCGCAAACTCATTTATGGGCCAGGTAAAAATATATTGCTTGTATTAAAGAGAAGGGAGGGGAGGGAGGGAGGAACGCAAGGAACGAAGAAAATGAAGGAGGGAGGGAGTTCATGGAAGGGAGGGAGGAAAGTTAAGGGAGGGAGGGAGGTTAAGGAAGGAAGTTTAAGAAAGGGAGAGAAGGAGGAGGAAGGAACGAAGGAAGGTCAAGGAAGGAATGAAGGGAGGAAGGTCAAGGAAGGGAGAGAGGTAGGAAGGGAAGGAGCGAAGAAGGGACGGAGGGAAGGAGGAGGAAGGAATGAAGGGAGAGAGGAAGGGAGGGAGCAAAGAATTGACACGGAGGTCAAGGAAGGAAGGGAGGGAAGAAGGAGGAAGGTCAAGGAAGAGAAGAAGGAAGGTAAATAAGTCAAGGAAGGAAGTGGGGAGCAGGGAAGGAAGGAAAGAATGAAGGACCTTAGGCAAATTTCCAGTTTCAAAGTTTGATGAGTTTGCCATAATCAGTCAACCATTAGTACGATGAAAGCAAGCAAGGAAAAAATCCAGCATTTCCCCTGCATGTAAACACTTTTCTATCCTAACCAGGGGAAATGCCTTCTGAGTTTGGTTTAGCTTGGCAGAGGTCTTAAAGGCACCTGCATTCTTGGTTGAAATGCAGGCAGTGGAAAGAGAGTAAAGGTGGAATTGGCAATGGAGGACTTTGAGACTTGCAATAGTTAATTATTTTCAATATACTCGCTTAGGGGGGAGTGTCTTTTGGGAGGTTTACTGGATTTAAAATGGTAAACCTCGACAATTATCTACTACAGTACTGCAGCCAAAACATAAACACAGGCCAGTTCCCTGTTTTGATCTAATTTCGTGGGTTCCATAAGTGTAAGGACTAGTCACAAGCCACATTTTTTCCAACCCCGTCGCAACTTCAAAACAGCCATTAATTGAATGATTGGAAGTTGAGGATTTACCTGTAAAGCATCCGTGAAAACTTTAAATTGCAGCCCAAATGCTGCCTTGATTCTTCCTCAGTGACCGAGGAGGAGGAGGAGGAGGAGGAGGAAGGAAAACGAGATGTGGAACTTGGTGGTTTGTTTCGCGTCAGCCGTCCCGACAAAGAATCAAAACGAAAGATTGATGCTCTGGATTGCTCCAAATTTCCCATGGAAACCCCGCAGGACTGGGACTCGGACGAGGTACGGCTTCTTCAGATTTGTTGGGTTTTGGACTAATCTGGAAAAGCGATTGTCAGTTGCAATTTACAGATTGTGAATCTGTAAAACAGACATGTTAATTGAGACTTTAGAAAGAGTGCAGAGAAGAGCAACCAAGAGGATTAGGAGAGTAGAGGCTAAAACATACAATGAACGATTACAGGAACTGGGCATGGCTAGTCTAGTGAAGGACCAGGGGAGACATGATAGCAGCGTTCCAATATCTGGGGGGTTGCCACAGAGAGGAGTGGGTCAAGCTATTTTCCAAAGGACCTGAAGGCCAGACAAGGAATGATGGATGGAAACTGAACAAGGAGAGATTCAATCTAGAAATAAGGAGACATTTTCTGACAGTGAGAACAATCAACCCATGGAACAGAAGTTGCCTTCAGAAGTAGTGGGAGCTTCATCACTAGAGGCTTTCTAGAAGAGACTGAACTGCCAATGGTCAGAAATGGTGTAGGGTCTCCTGCTTGGGTAAGGGGGTTGGACTAGATGATCTACAAGGTCCCTTCCAACTCCGGTTATTCTATATTCAAATCTCGCCGTCCG